TCTGTCCGAACTCGCACCGCCGATTATCTCCGATCCACCGCTCTGTCAGTTTGCTTTCCACTTATTCCTTCTCTCACCTCCCCCCCCCCCCCCCCCCCCCCCCTCTCTCTCTCTCTCTCTCTCTCTCTCTCTCTCTCTCTCTCTCTCACACACACACACACACACACACACCCCCACCCACCCCCACCCACACCCACACCCAGAGGCAACGAGTAGTCCAGAAACAGCAGCAAACGATACTGAGCGCCGATACTCAGCGGTGATAGCAGGGCAAGGCGCGCTTAACTCAGCGCCGATACTCAGCGCTATCACGGGGGGCGTAAGGGGGGAGGCGGGAAGAATAAGAAAAAGAACGGACCCGGCAAACACTCCGCTCGGTATTGCCCGCCGATAGTCAGCAGTTTCCTCCCATCACCCCTCACAGCGTCATTGCGCTGCACATTCCGCAATCGACAACATCAGGTCAGGTCGCACCAAAGAAGAAGTAGAAGAAGAAGAAAAAGAAGAAGAAGAATTTGAGTCCTTACGCTTCACGTGACGATCCCAAGAATCGAACACATGCCCTCCCGGTCAGGAGGTAAACACTCAACCAAACGGCTAAGTGGACTGGGGTGAAAGTTAAGCCCCAAGATGAGCACTTAACCCAAGAAGAAGAAGAAGAAGAAGACGTAATGCGCGCGTGCGCAGCACATTCCGCAATCGACAACATCAGGTCGCGCCGCGAGAAAAAAAAACAAGCGAGCCGCGCACGATTCGTTTTTCTTGTCGCCCCGACTGCTTTCATGGACGAATCATTTTCGAACCATCCTTTCATGGACTGCTTTCATGAACTTTTTTTTCCAGATACAAACCGATCAGACCAGATACTACAATGGATGTTAAACTGATCTTAGCCAAAAGGCCGAGAAAGGCATTGGATTGCTCAATTCTCCAGCAATGGTCATGAACGCGTCAGGACACAGCAACCATGATGGTCCGTCGCTCGTGGGGCAATCGATGGATCAGTCGTTCCTGGCCTATTGATGGATCCGGTCGTCTGTGGGCGACCGATTGATCAATCGGTCGTTCAGCCGCAAATGAAGAGATTGTGGCCTCCTTGATCGATACAGGCGTAAGATACGCCAAGCCCCCAGAAAACACTTGTCCACATTCCATGCGGCTTAGTTTCTCATTACTGATAAATCCACTGCGGGCATTCGCCAGTGAACTTGGCCATCCCTTGAAAAGCAAAAAAAAATTTGAAATTTCCCCAGGCAGGCAGGGAATACTGATTGAAATTTCCCGCCAAACGTAACGGAACGGAACGGAATCTTAACTCTCCCGCCACGGGCCAAAAAGAGCGGAACGGAACGGAATCTCAACTCTCCCGCCACGGGCCACGCGCGCGAAAAAGAACGGAACGGCCGCAAAAGAACTGTGCGCTGCGCGGGGAAGAGCGAGAGAAGAGATTTCCCGCCTTAACTTTTGAAATTTCCCGCCTTAACTATTGAAAAATTTGCCTCCTTAACTGTTGCGCAGCGAGATCACAACCTCCCCGTTGAATCGTTTCCACGGCCAGCCGACCGATCTATCCTCACGCGACCCTCACTGCCACTGCGGGCCGACCGGTCTATCCTGGCGCGAGCCTCGCTGTCGCTGCCGGACGACCGGTCTATCTACACACAGCTCGGCGCCTGTCAGGAATACCTGCGAGGCCTCTTACTTCTGCCACCGCCACGTCCATTCATTCATTAGTCAATTTTACCGGCAAGCCGATCACCAACCAATCAACCAACTAATCAATCGATCACAGCAAACAACTAATCAATCGATCACCGCAAACAACCAAACAATCAATCGCTCGATCGATCCATAGCGTACTTGTCACTCGAAGCCGATAATCACCTAATCAACCAATTAATCAATCAATCACCGCAAACAACCAATCAATCAACTGTACCGCCAAGCGCGCGACGGAAACAGCTGTGTCTTCAGGTCGATCAATGCATCTTAGTATCACAAGACTAATCAAGTCGAGTCTAGTTCAATCATCCACGTGGCGGCATCTCGTCAGCCCCGCTTTGATCGGCTGTTGGATCTCTCAATCGTGTAGCGTAGCACTCTCACACTCGGACCTCTCGGACCGCCGGGCATCGGGAGTCATCAGGCACATACAGGAGGGGAAGGGGGGGGAAGGAGCGGGGGAGCAGGCGGCGGATTCCGAAGTCGGGGGTGAATCGATGCAATCCACGTGGAGAGACCTCGCCCACCCGGTCGGTGATAGATTGATCAACTACCCCCCACTTCCGCTCCCCAGCAACCGCAACCTCATGCTCGACCTGCCCGCTCGTCGACAATGTTGTAATCAGCCATTCACGTTGCGTTGACCACGGTCGTTTTTTTTCCTTCCCGCCAGCGGGATCGATTTGACCGATATTTCTCGTCGAACACCTCGCCGCGCGGGCTTGCGACAGATGGTGCAGGATGCCCCGTACGGCGAACGAAATCGGACCGCTGATTCAGCCCGCCCTCGCCACGAGATACGGGATCTTGGGCAACCGGAGGCGCCTGGCCACCCACTTGTGGACGCCTTGAGTGATTCCCGAAATGCCATCGTATGGACCTCGCGCCACTACCCTCGACATGCACAAAAGACAAAAAATAATGGCGTTGTATATCTTTCCATGTTCTAGCGGAAGATTCACTCTCCTTTTGCACATTTCGATACTGGAGCGAGGCCCTATGTGTGCATATGCTAGTTAGCATCCAATGGTTGGGAGCAACAGGGGTTTATCTTCTTTCTTTTTTTTCACTTCATTTTTTTATTTTTTATTTTCCTTTGTTTTATTACCTAACAAAGTGGGGACCGCTACTACCAGTAGCCCTCCCCACGAAAATAAAAGGAAGGAGCCGGGGGACTGGTACACTGGCGCTCCGCTGGTCAGAGTGAACCCTGTGAGGGCCGCGATTATCCACCATCTCTACCTCAGCATTATACTGCGGCAACATGCTTGTTGCATGGGACATGTCGGTGTGGGTGGCCTCAACGGGCCTCGCCACACCACTCTTGAATCTCGAAAATTCGTGAGTCGGGCACTGCCACACAGCATCGCTCGAAAAAAAAACTCGAAACTGTTCGAGAACTGTCAGAAAGGCGTTTTCGAGTGCGCTCTCGAAACAATGTTTTCGCCCGGCCTGCAGCGTTGGAGTTTTCGTGATACCGCCCTCCGCACTCGAGTTCGACGTCCATTTCGAGAGCTGTCAGGCCGTTTTTCGTGATGCCGCCCGTCCGCGCTCGAGTTCGTCCATTTCGAGAGGCAGGTCTAGTGTGCTATGTTGCGAAGGGTCATTTTCTCTCGAAAAATCCTGACAGCTCTCGAATATTTTTGAGATTCGAGAGTGGTGTGGCGAGGCCCAAAGATAGTTAATAGTAAATTTTAGACATAGCTCAGTTACAAAGAACGATAGCCTCGGTGTTGCTCTGCCTAGAAGCCTTGCTGGTAACAAGATCCGAGTTTTGTGACTACAAGCAGTCATAGTTTCCTCGTTACAACGTATTTTTCAGCCACGTGCTTACGAGTATAATGATTCAGCACAGGCAACAACAAGGTGGATAAGGATCTCCAGTTGCGCTACTGTGGTTTTATCCTGCTTTCTTCAATGTGTCAACATTTACCTCAAAAGGAAGTTACACGGCTGTGATTTACATGATTGGCCGGCTCGGAAGGAAGAAGGTTAAACTTTAGCTTTTGTAATCCTTAAATTTGTTTTCGGTGTTCCTTTCTTATCATTGTATGTATGAAAGCATCGTCATTTGTACTTTTATTGCCTTTAGGTATAAAACACTATCTTTTCAACTGCATTTTGTCGGATTCTTTGAAAACATAGTATGAGAACAATTTTCATGCTCGGCGCTTCCAGACACAGAGTATTGTCGGCGCTCATCTCATATCACAGAACTCAACAACGAGTTTTTCACTCCTCAAGTACGTATTTCTCTGAAATTTTCCTCTCCTTTTTCCAAGGTTTGCCTTAACCACGGACAATCAAGTCCAAATAGAAGAAACGATGGATGATCAAGCTCAAGCGGGAAAAAAAAAAAAAAAAAAAAAAAAAACGGCCACATGCTTTCCACCATCAGCTCCTGGCGATCAGAACCTTAATGAATCGGGTATGGGAGAGCTTATCGACTAGTGCTATGAGGAAGGTAACATTCCTCATGAAGTTTCATGTGAGAGCATCGAGGTGGAAAGAAAAGAAACCATTTTTATTGTGAACCTTGCTTTTGACCGGATCAAGATGGTCTAGCTCAAGGAGAGAACGATTGTAATCGTTTTCAAGGAGGCTGCAAGAGACATGTCAAGGAAAGTGAAAGTTAACCTTATCAGGGTGCACGAAAATAGATGGGCCAAGGATTATATTTTCGAACAGGAAACTAAGAGAGGAACTATCAAATTTCAAGTGTCAAACATGTTGACGTATGTGGTCAAGGATATGGTGGTATCTGCATAGCTAATAGAAAAAGCAAAAGATGAGGTATTGTTGTTTGACTCTTTCATATTCTACGAGTTTTAAACCTTAGGTGACTATATTATAATGGAGGAAATTTATCACAATTGAGATGTTTAGTTATTTATGGGTTAAGACTTTTCATGTTCTTTCATATGTCATTATTTACACCAAGACAGTTGTTTCGAGAATCATTGGCACTGTGATAAAATATAACCCTCCAATGAGAGAGAGATCGATGTATGAACTCAAGAATCTTAAGTATTATGTGGACCCAGAGTTCGGAGAACGAATGGTGTGCAGGGTATGAATGAGAACAACCAATTGTCACTTAAGAGAGTTCAAAATGGTTTCGTCTTCGATACCATGGTGCAAGAACTACATGGGGTTATTCCATGAGGAAGAAAAAATATATCAGAAGTATAGTTGAAAATAAAAACAACAAAGGAAGAAAATGAAATGGTCAGTCGAATGTTGTCCCCGTTGGTAGTTTGAATTTTTATTCCAATGAC